GACTCCCCCAGGTCGCACAGCGCTCTGTAATCTGGGTTTCTCTCCCTGGATACCTCGACGTGAAGGGCATAAACAGACAAAACCAAACCGAAAAGGCACAAAAACATGCGTACCTTTCGCTCCCATTTGGGGAACCCCTGAATGGCACCCATTAGGACACTAAAAGATGAATTTATTGCACTACTGTTTTGAAACTGCACGGTCCAGTCTGGTTTCCTTTCAAGCGTCACCTAGTCAAGACGACGTGTTCGTGCTCAGATTGTCGCTTTTGATTGGTCTGTGCTAGTTTTGCGACTGCTTTTCATTGGACGGTGGAGTCCAGATGTTGGCAGATGGGTGTTTGCACTGTATTTTTCTGTGGACTTCAGTCTGTTTGAGATTTGAGGAATGTCAATAACCACCCTCGCTGTTCATCTCACGCCACTGGAATATTCCACTGCTAAACTATTATACCTGAAAGAGTTTGTTTGTTTGTTTGTTTGTTTGTTTGTTTGTTTGTTTGTTTGTTTGTTTGTTTGTTTGTTTGTTTGTTTTTACTTAACCAAAAGTGTCTGATTTTTTTTAACATATCCACTCGCAAATGCGTCATTAAAATTGAGCTTAACTAGAGGTAACAACTGCTTAATCCTTTAAATAAAGTAACACAACGTGCTTAGTAAGCTGTGAATTATACTATCAGTTTGGGAGATTTCAGTAATATAATTTTCTAGTTAGTATATTCTCCAGCTTTGCCATTTGTCATCTGTTTGAGCCGATAAGCCTTCGGGCTGAGTTGGATATATGTTATTATATTATTATATATAAAGTTAATATAAAGCACCAGCACGGACAGGTATCTTTGCACAAATCTGACTCCTCCTAAAGCAATTGAACTGTGGGGAAAACAGAAAGAACAGAAACAGAAAAAAAAAATCACAAAGATACATAATTATATTTACATAAATAAAGCGGAGACTGACCAGTAATCTCCCAACTCGTCCTCTGTTCCTATTGGACGAACTACTTTATGTCAGCGCATGTGGTTGGTCCGCAACATGGCACTCAACCCCTACGCGGAACTATATGAGGAAGCGGCAGACAAAAACAAAAGATGGTCGTGCTACTACGGGGTTAAAACGTCAATGCGGGTGTTGTGGGTGACTCACAAGGTGAGCGCACATTCCTTTAACAGAAAACACGTGTCAGCGTTTGTCCGTTTTGTTATATAATATACAGAAATGCGGTTTAACGATTTCTGTGTCTAGAGTGCTCCAGCGTCAGGTAACGTTATTAGCCTACGCCCCTGCGACTAGTGGCGATCATGGTTACGTCTTTGTCGTGCGGTTAGTTTATAACTATGCAGTACAGAAATTAGTGCGTTCTTATAGACAGCCTCTGCTGGGTTTGGCCTTCAGCTTCTCGCATGAAGACTCCAGCTTAATTATGGAGACGTTAGTAGAGAGCTACAGGTTTGGTTTTGGCCACTTTCACTGCCAGGCCTAACGGGTGTGGAGTTACTGATCACACCTAGTTTGAGCCTACCAGGTCACTCTCACACAGTTTATCAGCGTTTAAAAGTGTGTTTTTATTTACCAGAAGCAGCAGTTTCTTTTTATTTAAGATTTTCTCCTAAATCTCAATTGAGAAAAACTTTGGCATGTGGTGGTGCTGTCTCTATTGTTCCTCAGTACCCACATTAACAGAGGCACTCCTGGGATGGCTTCCATGCGCACAAGTGTTCAAAGAAAATGCTTTTATATGGGCTTAATTTTAGCTTTCAGTAAAACTGATTTTAATGATGACAGAAACACTGCATAGTGTTGCTGCTACAGACTCCAGCATAACACATGTGGGTCAAGCATAAGGTCCGGGGGCTAAAATCGGCCTAGCAGAGACTTTAATCGAAAATGTAAAGGAGAACATACATTTTGTATGTTTACATTTATTTTAATAAATATTACAGCTTTGTCTTGTTGACTCTCCCATGATCACTCATACTACCCCCCAAATAATTAAGTAAATAAATAAACTGGCATAAAAGTTTGTTTTTTAAATATCACTATAGAAAGCTCACATTTTCTGTGAAGTAATAGAAACTTTTTTGTTTACAAATATAGGGCAGTCCAGACCAGGGGTCTCAAACTCGTGGCCCAGGGGCCATTAAGGATTTTGAATATTGGAAGACGGAGTTTGAGCTTAATAATTTAGACTATTTTAGATACATCCAGATGAGGAACTACCTCCAGCTAAACATCCTTACCAAAACAGATGTAGATGATCCAGTTTTAATAATTTTTCGGAAAGCTTACCTTACTTAAGGATATGATTGGTAAATTATAAAAAGGGCTATTACCCAGGAAACCCCAATCTACTATTTATATTAAAGAAAGGTGGGAAAAAGAAGGTGACATTGCAATAGAAAATGAATGGCTGATTGGCATGTAAATCGATATGGAAATGTATGAACTCTAATATGTGGCGGGATTACAGTTGGAAAAGTCTGATGCATTTTTTTATAACACCAAACCAGATGACACATTGGCACACGGGTGCCCTCGGCTGTTGGAGAAGGTGTGGGGCACAGGAGATGGGGCACTGGCACATATTCTGGGATTGCTCGAAGATTAAGCCCTTTTGGCACGAGTTCCACAAAGCCTTAATCACTATATTTAAGGCAAATAATATACCTTTACATCTCTACTATATTCCTAAATAATCTTGATCTTCTGCAGGACATGAGAAATAAATATCTTTTTATGATTCTTGTGACAGCTGCCAAAAAAGCAGTTACAAGATGCCGGCTCCTTCCCGTGCCCCCCGCTATGACAGATTGGAGGGACATTGTGAATGAGATTTATGCAATGGAAATAATTTCATTCTCAATATGTCTTAAGAAGAATGTTTTTGCCAAGTTATGGTGAGAGTGGGTCAATTTTATTAAGCCTCTTCAACCGGACTTTGTTGAAATCTCATCTGTTTAGAGACTTGAGTGCTGTGTTCTATTTCCTGTTGAGTTCTATGTATGACATTGTTGCCTTCTCTCCCTATGCGTTTTTTTCTGTTTTGTTTTTTTTGTTTTGTTTTTTTTTGTTCCCAAAATGTAAAAAGTTTAAAGTGGGGTATATCTGGATATTTTGTTTTTGATGTGCTATGTGTTATACTCCATTTGTTTGTTTGAAAATTAAAAATAAATAAACAAATAACTTTTTCAACTTTTCTGTTTTTTATTCTTTACAGAAAAATGTCACTCAAGGAGGGTGGAGAGAGTAAAAATGGTCAACTTGTGGCGTCACCTGAAAGAATGGCCACAGACAAAACCAGAGAAAACCAGAACCCACGGGGAGTTGAGGTACCGGGCAGCAACGCAGACACCAGCACGGCAGCTAAAAACCTGGCTTTGCTTAAAGCACACTCTCTAGATGTGAAGTTTGATGTCGGAGAGGAGTATGACATCATAGAAACCATTGGCACCGGGGCCTATGGTGTTGTTTCCTCTGCCAGGAGGAGGGACAATGGTAGGGCTAATTTAGTTTAAAATATATATGTAATTAATTCTGTCTTTAGTACAATGCCGAATAAATGATCAAATGTGGCTCTCCCTTAATTCTGTTCTGCATTTACACTTTGCAGGCCAGCAGGTGGCAATAAAGAAAATCTCCAACGCTTTTGAAGTGGTGACAAATGCCAAACGCACACTGAGAGAACTGAAGATTCTTAAACACTTTAAACATGACAACATTATCGCCATCAAAGACATCCTGCAGCCAAACCTCCCTCATTCTGCCTTCAAGTCTGTGTATGTACTTTTCTTTTTTCTAACTTTGGCTAATAACACGTCCACAGATAGATCTGTAGATTATTAATAAATGCAAGAGCTGGAAACATAGTCATCAAATTGGATGTTGTTCTGTTATGTCCAGGCTTCTTCCTGCAGGGAGGAATTTTGGCAGTTTTTTCAAAGAGATTTTAATCAGAGCTGAGGAATGCATGACATGCAACCCCTTTACTGTACAAGGGCATGCTTACTGTCCTGCCCCTGCCCCCTACAAAAGGGCCACCTGATCTAGAAACAAACAAATAAAAAAAAAAAAAACATGCACAATGTTTTTTGTACATTTAAATAAAACTAAAACGGTTTATAAAATGTGAAAAACAAAGCCAGTTATGTGTAAATCAAAATTGTTGACCTGACATCTTTGTGCACACAAGATCTTAATGACTCTTGTTTAGAACAGTAATAAGTTTTAGTAAATTTATTTTGAAGTCTATTTCATTGGGTAAGAATGACGTGCCACTGGTCCCCTGTCTGCCCTGGGCAACAGTTTATAAATAAAAAGTATTTAAATATATATTGCCAAGTGCGCATGTTGTTCACCTTACTTTTGCTTTTCCTGTGTGTGCAGGTATGTGGTGTTGGACCTCATGGAGAGTGACCTGCACCAGATTATCCATTCTGCCCAGACGCTGACACCAGAGCACACACGCTACTTTCTGTACCAGCTCCTTCGTGGCCTTAAGTATGTGCACTCTGCCAACGTCATCCACCGTGACCTCAAACCTTCCAACTTGCTGGTGAACGAAAACTGTGAACTAAAAATCGGTGACTTCGGCATGGCAAGGGGTCTCAGTTCACACCCTGAGGAGTCTCATTCCTTCATGACTGAATATGTGGCGACTCGATGGTACCGTGCTCCTGAACTCCTGCTGTCTCTGAATCACTATAGCTTGGCCATTGACTTGTGGTCTGTGGGCTGCATCTTTGCTGAGATGTTGGGCCGTAAGCAGCTGTTTCCTGGAAAGCACTATGTACACCAGCTCCAGCTTATTTTGAATGTGTTAGGCACTCCTCCCGAGGGTCTAATTGGTGCTAGTAGGGCTGACAGGGTCCGCGCATATGTTCAGAGTCTTCCATCACGATCGCCCATACCTTTGGCCAAACTATATCCACAAGCTGAACCGGAAGCATTAGACCTGCTGGCGGCCATGCTGCGCTTTGACCCTCGCCAGCGAATAAGCGTGACAGAAGCTCTGGAGCATCCTTACCTGGCTAAATACCATGACCCAGATGACGAGCCAATTTGCGTGCCAGCTTTTGACTTTGAGTTTGACAAGCTTCAGTTGAACAAGGAACAAATTAAAGAGGCAATTCTGATGGAGATCCAGGACTTTCACAGAAACAAACAAAGCTCTCGTCAGAGGCTGCAGTTCAGGCCTTTGGTGAGGGTGAAAGGTGGAGCTGCAGCACAAAGCAGTAACCACTGCAGTGCTCAGCCTGCAACTGTCAACCTGAACGAATCATCAGTGGTTCCCTTGGCGCAGCACCCACAAGCAGCACAGCAAATGAGAGAGGTGAAATCTCAGCGGCAACAAGACCACACACCAGCAGAAGGGAGCCACGCATTTACAAATCACATGACGACCTTCAGTAAGCCTGCATCCGCTTTAGAAGTCGCCCCACCCCATGTGAATCACAATTTACCTCTCCTCTCTAAAAGTGAAAGTGGCCCGGTTGACGTGGACATGCCAAGTGCCAACTCGGAGAACGGTCAGCCAGAGACTATAGATTTAACAACACCGGTGTCTAGTCAGGACGCTCCACCAGAGACGATGAGAGACAGCGAGACACAAGGGCAGCTAGCAAGCAGTCAGGGTCCTCTAGCTCAAAACACCCAGAGCCAGAGCATGGCCCAGCCTGCAAACTCCATTCCTACAAAGCCAGCACAGGCAATGACAACACTCCCCACCACTGTGCCTTCCCTCTCTCTCTCTGCAGCACAGGCCCAGTCACTTTCTCAATCCCTTTCACAGTCCCTGTCCAAGAACGCCAGACCTGCTTCATGTGCAGTAGAGGGAACCAGAAAAGAAGGTGCTATTTCAGAAGACACTAAAGCTGCACTTAAAGCAGCGTTATTGAAATCAGCTCTCAGAAATAGAGCCAGGGGTGGTAAGTTGGTTCTTTCCCATAATCTGCTTTTAATCGCTTAAAATTTTAGACCGCCTTCATCTGAATGTAATATTTTCTTTGCAGATGGAAGCACCTCGGCTCTGGGCACCGACACAGGCGCAGGAGGAGTTGCGCCGTCCTCCCTGTCTTCTGTTCCGGAGTCGCGTCGGCCTGTCACAGCCCAGGAGCGTCAACGAGAAAGAGAGGAGAAAAGAAGGAAGAGGCAGGAGCGCGCGCGCGAGAGGGAGAGGAAAATGAGAGAAAAAGAAAAAAGAGAGGGAAAACAAGGGGATCGCTGGGCGGGGTTCTGCTGACTGACAACGATAAAAGTCTTCTGCAG